TTACAGTGGTCAACAAACTTTTACTACTCTTACTGTGGCCAGTAAGTTCCTTGTAACATCTGTGAATCTCACCTTGAGGTTCCTTTCCTCAGTATAATTTACCCAAGCGTTGCTGATCCATTTGGACCTTATATTTATCCACAAGTTATAGTAGAAATGACATGATCTGAAATAAAATATGAAAACAAACTCTAAATGATGAAATAATCCCCCCAAAATTAGAAACATAAAAGAAAAAGTTTTATCTAGTAGAGTATCACTTCCCTTCTGACCAAGCTATGTGTTTAGTGAAACTCCTTCCCCTCTCCCCTCTCCCCTCTCCCATCTTCCTCCTCCTCCCTTGTAGCTGCTCCCATCAGTCAGACTCATTGCTCCAAATCAGTCCTTTTCTACCTTTGGCTTTAGCCCTTCAACTTTCCCAGGGTTTGATCAGTTCATTCAACCCAAGTTCTTGGTTTAGCTTTGGAGACTTTGCAGTATATGAAATATGTTATTTTAAACCTAGGAGAGGAAACTAAGAAGCATAATACAAATGACCAGTTTCATGAAGTATCATGAAGTTCTGGAAAACTAAATGACCTTGGTGCTTTCCAAGGTCATTTACCTAACCAATGGCACATAAGACACCAAAGTTCAGACCACTTGCCTTCTTTCATTTATGCATTCAATCTGTTACAAGGAGATTAATGTAAAAAAAACTTTTTTTTTTGAGTTGGAGTCTCACTCTGTCACCCAGACTAGAGTGCAGTGGCACGCTCCTGGCCACTGCAGCCTCAAACTGCTGGGCTCCAGCGATACTTTTGCCTCAGCTTTCCAAGCGGCTAGAACTACAGGCGCGTGCTACCATGTCTGGCTAGTTTTTGATTTATTGTAGAGACAAGGTCTCACCAAGTTGCCTGGGCGGATCTCGAACCTGGGCAGATCTCAATCCACTCGCCTCAGACTCCCAAAGTGTTGGGATTACAGACTGAGTTACCGAGCCCAGCCCTAATGTAAAAATGTACTGGTGCTATATATTTTTTGTTGCTGGAGACTTAAGAAGGAAAGAAAGAACATTTTCCTCTTTCCTGAGTAGTAACTAAACTTTCTGAGTTCCCAAGAAAAGTCAAAAGACATTTCCTCTTTTCTTGTGATTAGGGTCTTGGTGTCTGGTTATCTGGAAAGAAAAAAGAAAGGTGAATTCTTTCTGCTTTGGAGTAATTAAATTGGGGTTAGAAGTACTCCAAAGCAGAGGCAACTGGGGGATTTAAAAAGGGAAGTCCATTATAGCTGGGTCCCAGTTGTGGGTTGAAAAAAAAAACAAAAAACACAAGGGCTCCTGGTTTCACTGGAGTGGAGTCATGAACCTGTTAGGACCTGAAAAGTGACAGGACATGGTAGGGGTTAGGGGTGGGAGGTGGGGGAATGGTCCCAGGTTGGGCACTGAAAACCATGTCTTGAAATAAAATTGCCAAGGGAATGTGAAGATAGAGAAGCCCAAAGACCAAACTCTGGGCATACCAATGACTAGAAATGTGCGGGAGGAGCCAATGGAACTGCCAGCGAGATGGATGAACCCAGAGAGGGGCCACCTGAATGTCAAGTGAAGAGGGCGAAGGCTTTAAGATGGCAGTGGTGAGCAACTGTTTCAAATCCAGCTGGTAGTGTGATTAATATAAATGAAAAGTAACCACTGATTTAACAATTCTGAGATCATTGGTGACTTTGCCAAGAGGAGTTTCATGGAAGGGTAGGGGCAAAAACCTGGTTCAAGAATGAATAGGAGCTGGGCTCAGTGGCTCAGCCTGTAATCCCACGCCTTTGGGAGGCTGAGGTGAGTGGATTGCCTGAGCCCGCGGGATCGACACCCGCCTGGGCAGCGAGACCTCATCTCTACAATAAATCAAAAAAATCAGCCGGGTGTGGTAGCACATACCTGTCATTCCGGCTACTTGGAAGGCTGAGGCAGAAGGATCCCCGGAGCTCAGCAGGCGAGGCTGCGGTGGCTGGGAGCAGCCACTGCACTCTAGTCTGGGCGACAGAGTGAGACTCCAACTCAAAAAAAATAAAAAAAAAAAAGGATGAATAGGAGGAGGGAATAAAGATACAGTGACTATAAATGAATCTTTTAAGGAATTTTGGAAGAGAGCAGAGAAATAGGGTGGTAGTTGGTGGGGGGGGAAGTTGGTGTGCTGTCAAGGAACTTTTTGAGAAGATAGGAAAATGTTGCATAATGTTGATATGCTTATGGGAATGATCCAGTAATGTTATGTGGTAACCCTAAATCAGAGAGAGCTTTGTGCATAATGTTTACCTGTTCCAAAGAAGTCACCTGGAGGTCCAGTAGAGAAATACACTGATTTATTAAAACTTATGGGAGGCACCGATGGCAGCAAGTCAGTAAAGAATCCACACTTCAGGGAAGTATAGCAAGCAGTTTTATAATCAACCTAATCATTCAAATTCCTATATAGTATGTACAGTTACATTGATTAAGCATGACAACTACATTTTTTTTCAGCGTTGCTTGGTCATCTCCCTGTGACTCATTACTGGGAATATGGATACCCTTCTGAGACCAGCCTTGGCTAGAGGCCACTCCCTGATGGAGGGGGCAAGAGGAAGCCAGGTGTAGGAGAAAACAGTTTAGCGTAGCAGACAGATAAAAATTAATAGTGTAGGATTGAGAGGCAGCAACTGCTAGTGTGAAAACCTTGAAAATGTAAGGAAGATAGGATCTAATACAAAAGCGGAAGAGCTGAACTTAGATAAGAGCATGGACAGTTCATTTCCTGCACAAGAGGGAATACAAAGTGCATAGGTCCAGATGTAGGTTAACTTGTCAGATGTGGTGATGGAAGCCTTAACCCCTAAAATACTGACCTGTAACACTCTCTCAGAGTCTAACTTTTTCGTCTAATGAATTCAGCAATAAAGAGAAGTTAATAAGCTAACTAAAGTATTTAATGAAGCACATTCTTTTATATGTAGATAAAAATTTTTAACTGCTGAGGAAATATCACACAATTTTTAAAACACTAATAATACATAAAGTTCTTATTGCTGTCAGGATTCAGCTGAAGTACAGTGTAAAGAATGCATGAGCAGTCATTTAAAAAAATGAAATCTAGTTCTTTGCAACAGCATGGATGGAGCTGGAGATCATCATCCTAAAAATGAGTCAGAAACAGAAACTCAAACGCCACATGTTCTCATCCATATGTGGGATATAAATGGTCACAAAGATGAAAATAATAGATACTGGAGACACCCAAAGCGGGGGGTTAGTGTCCAGAAACTACCTATGGGGCACAATGTTTACTAATTTGGGGAATGGTCCACTTGACACCCAATCTCCACCACTACATAATACGCCCTGTACTGAACATGCATATGTACCCCTGAATCTAATATTTTTTTAAAAATCGAGCTAAAAACATTCTTTGTTGTGAATTTTCAGAAGGTGCTATTTATACAGTACTTCAGTGCAACGAAAATCAAGTTGGTAGATTCTCATATGACCCCTCAAATCGATATGACTAGCTTTAACAGCTCCTTGGGACAGTTAAAAAAAAAAAGAATGCATGAATTCTGCTGTCCATAATTGGAAAAGATTAAGTGTCTAAGGCGGATAGATCTTCCCATGGGTGCTGATGGAAGAAGATACTTGTCTCTTGGAGCCTGAGTTGCCCTACCTCTAATATAAGAATAACCCCTGCCTTACAGGATTGTCCATGAACTCCAAATAAGATAATATAGTTAAAGTTCCTGGCACACAACAGGTGTGAAAAAACAAAATTGCCAACAATCACCATTAAATTTGGTTTTGTTTTTTGTTTGTTCTTCTGAGAGCAAACATGCTAACTCACACATTCCTTCCATTTATAGGATGCAACCAGTGTGGAAACTAGAGGCAGGCACATGAGGCGTCTCTGTACTTTACAACTTTCTGTGATTCTGTTAATAATTTTAAAGTAAACAGTTAACATTTTTCTTCCATTTAGAGTTCTTCAAGAAACACCTGCGTCCCAGCTTGCAAACCTCCTTCTGGGGCTCAGCGGGCCATGCTCTGACAATAGACACGTCTGCCAACTGGAAAGGCAGTTGTGCATTCCAAGATGATGGTTTTCAGAAGAGATGACAAAAGCCAAGACACAACAAAAGACTGCCATGGCCTCTCTAGGTTGGAATCTAAGTTCTTTTACCTGACTCTACTACTTTTGGCAAGTCATTTAAACGTTGAACCAGTGTCCTCATTCCAAAGCCAGTGTCAAAACAACCAGCTTACTTCATAAGAATAGCTAATAGCACTGAACTCTTGAGCATCTTAAGGCCCACTCAGGCCAATGTAAAAGTGTAGGAGAGTGGAAGAAATTACCGCACATTCCAAAGCTGCGGTGCCTTTTACTTCAGTCTACTAAAGCCAACAGAAGCGCAGTGTAATATAAGACATTACTGCAAAATAATCAAGGGAGACTGGCTGTTCCAGAAGACCCTGGCCACAAGGTAACTCAGGCCGCCCCCCCACCACACATCATTCATGATTCTAGCATTTGTGCTGTGGCGGGGTACAGGACTTCCGCCCCACAGCAGTGGGGTGAAGGCAGGGAAAACCGTGCGCAGAGGCCATCGGAGATGGAGGGGGCCACCACTAGAGGAAAAGCTGGTACACGCTGGGGGATAGGGGTTGTGGAAAGGTTGCTCCCAGCATCACACACGCCTCACGCCTCCAGGCCAGGTATTCACAAATGCTCCAGAGACACAGAGAAGGTGGCGTGGCCCACGGAGGGTTCGGGGGACGGCGGAGGCGGACCCAGCGGGAGGCGCGGCG